GTTTCCGCGTCGCCGACCGAGCTGCCCTCAGAAAGGCGCGGCCCTTGCGTTTTCTGTGTTTTGGTTTTTTTGGTGTCCAGTTTTTTTTAATCTCCCGTGTTCCTGTTTCCGGGGGTGGTGGCGTAGCTGTCGGATGCTCAGAATAGGGGGAGCTCCAGAATGAAGGGTTTCATTGGGTGTCAAGAGGAGGCACCGGCCTCCAGTTTTCCTAGAAAAACCTGCCTATCCTTTTGACCTTGTATCTCCGGAAAAGCGGAGGAGCGGTTGGGATTCTCAGCAGTTCTTCCTGCTCCGCATCTTGGGTTTGGATTCGTTATCCTCTTCCTGCAGTAAAAGCTTCCCTGTGGCCTGCTGTCTGCACATGGAAGGAACAGATACGGCAGGTGGAGGCTCTGACTTGCAGGAAAACAGCGCGAAATCGGAGGTGCCTTGGCTGCCACCGAGGGAGCAAGGAGCTGTTAGGTGCAGGGAGGACCCGCTGCGGGCCTGGGGTTGGGGGCTGCCCTGCCTTGAGTTGGGTGGAGGGAAAAGATTCCGGCAGTGTGTCTGGAGGGCCCAGGAGTGAAAGCGGGGCCAGGACCCTCCTAGACCCTTCATGCTGTTTTGATATTTTTTGTGATTGGGCCGGTGAATAAAGACTCACTTTGGCAACTACCCGCAATAATTTTCCCCACATTAATGGCAGACAGGGCCCTGCTTACCTCCTTGTAAGCTTCAGCATTAAGGAGCAACATTTTTCTGTTCAAGTGTTTCCAGGACCCATTAACAGAACGTTGACTGGCTTTCAGGAGGCAGGGGGTCGCATCACGGTCACCAAGTCTCAGGGTCTGGGGTTTTCAGTGTCACAAGTTTGCATTCACAATATCTGCAAGATCTAGGTTGTGAGCGATGGCATAACACTGAAAACCTGCTATGAAGAGGAGGAGGAGAAAGAAAAGTGCTGATAAAAATGTCAGCCATGACACAGCGCCTGCTCTGTGCCGGCACGGTCCTGTCGCTCTGCCTGTGTTGAGGTGTGTAGCTGTCACCCTGAGAGCAGGCACAGGCTGCAGGAGGCCCAGGAGAGGCCTGAGGATAGAGGGGGTACCTCGGGAGCCTGGCTTGGAACACGCCCTCGGCGAGCTGGCCGGAAGTGCAGCCTCACAGCCAGTCACCAGGAGTGAGAAGCCTGAACCCAGGGGAGGGGACGGCCCTTGACTCAAGTCACAGAGGAGCGCTACCCCGTGTCTCTTAGGCATAGTCCAGGGACTGAGGGGACCTCACCGGGGCCTGCGCCCCGCACCAGGCTGCGTCTCCAGCTCTGCCGGCCCCACCCTGGAGTCTGCCTGCTCCCGGGCGAGGCCAAGTGCCTGGGCCCTTCCTCACTGGGGTTGGTCTGCCGTGAACTGGTCCCCAGTGGCTGTGCTGTGTCACAGTCCGGTGTGGAGTTGGGAGGCTGTGTCCTCGCACCCAGCAGGATTTCCTGCTAAAGGTGACTGGCCTGTGGCTGACCTCCGGGGAAGGGTCACGCCTCCCTGCTGATTTGCCCCTGGAAGAGGCTGCTTAAGTCAGTCACATCTGTGCACTCTGGGCAAGCGAGCTCGAGACCCCCACTCCCTCCCTGGCTCTGGGCTGCCAGGCTGCGGGTCCCCTGTGGCGACACCCAGCAGAGATCCTGCAGGGGAGGGTCCTTCCTTGCTGCCCTCCTCTGAGCCTCGGCCTCTGGCCTACGACTCACCCGAGCACTGGCCAACTCCAGCAGGATCTCGGGGGGGCCTCTGTGCAAGTCTCCCCAGTACACTGAGCCCTCGGGCTCCTTTGCGCCTGACTTTTGCTCCTCCCCTCCCTGATAATAAAATAAATTCTAAAATTGTGGAAAAGTGAAATCAAGACATCAGTACTACCGGAATGAATACCTGCACAGGTGACTCCTGTGCATGGACAGGTGCTGCTGGGCACTGGCTTCTGTCCCCCAAGTTCGTATGTTGAAGCCTTGGCCCCCAGTGTGTTGGTATTTGGCGAGGTCTTTGGGAAGTAACGGGTTAGATGAGGTCGTGGGGTGGGGCCCCCAGGCTGGGGTTAGTGCCCTTAGGAGAGACACCAGCGCGCTTGCTCTGCCTGTGTCTCCTCCTGCCAGGCAGCGGGCTCTGAGATGCGTCCACGTGAACACTTCCCTCCTCTCTGAGGAGCCTTCCTGGTGGACGCGAGCCCATTTGTTTAGCCTTCTTCTACTGAAGCACACCTGGACTTTCCTAACTTAGGCTCTTACAAACAAAGCTGTTAGGGATTTTTTTTTTAAGATTTATATTTAACTAATTTTAGACTTACAGAAAAGTTGCAAAAATAGTACCAAGTTCTGTAGGCTCCCCTGATACCAACATCTTCCGTGATACCTTCACGTAATGGTCACACTCAGAACCAGGACCTTACTTGGTGCTGCTGCAGCGCTGTTCACACGACACGGACCTTCCTCACACCCACGGGTTCCTCCGACAGGCCTGTCCTGCTCCAGGGCCCCACACGGGACCCACACCGTGGGGCTTCTTTGGTCTCTTCCAACCTGGGACCCTTCTTTGGTCTTCTTTGTGTTTTATAACATTGATATTTCTTGAAACTACGTACTGATTAGTTATTTTGCAAAATGCCCCCCAGTTTGTCTTTACCTGCTCTTTTCTCCCAGTGGGAATGGGGTTATTCGTTTTTTGCCCAGCCTCAGCAGTCCTGTCTTCACGGGCCGCATCAGGAGGTGGCTGCGTCCACATGTCCCTTTGACAGCGATGTTGGGCCGTGTCGCTGGGTTTCTCCACGGTGAAGTGGCTGTCTTTCCATTGCTGTCGGGGCCCCTGTTTCCTTCTTTCCTTTCTGGTTGTGGGTTGGGAAGGAAAGCTGTGTCCCCGCCTCAGCCGTCTGCTTGATGACTTGTTCGTATCCGCAGGGACACGTGGATGACGGCTCCATTCTAGGTTGAAGTCCAGTGTCAACGGTATTTTGTCCGGCAGACAGTTCCCAGTGCTGGCTGCAGGATCAACCTCAGGCTGGCTCCTGGGCTCTTTCAGGAAGCCCATCTTACCTTTTTTCTTTCTTTTTTTTTTAAATTTAAAATTTTTTTCTTTTTTTTTCTTTCTGGAACGGCAAGATGTTCCAGACTTGCCTGGTTCCAGTATCGTTGGTTCACGGTTTCTGTCATTGAGGGGTTTTGTTCTGTTTTGTTTTGTGTTTTTAATGGTCTTCACTGTTTGCTTGCTTCTGTGTTGGTTTTAAACGTCTGATTCTTTTGACTGGAAGGTGACTTACCTTTTTGCCTGGAGGCCTTGAGGCTGTTTGTTTCGCTCTGGCATCTTACGGTGCTGCTCGGAATGTTTCCTGTTGATGGCTCTGCGTTGGTCTTCCTGGGTGCACCTGTGGAAATGGGTAGATTCGGGTCCTTTCCTGTAGATGGGGAGCCCCGTGCATCAGCGCTGCAGGTGTCAGCTCCGTGCCTCTGCCCTGCTCTCCTGCAGGGATCTGGGGAGAGGAATGCTGTCTCCCCCCTCTCCCTCTGAGCCCTTTCCTGTCTATGCCACTCCCTTCTCCTGGCCCTCAGCCTGCGATGCCCCATGGTAGATACGCATTTGACTTTGTTCTTTCCTGAGCATCTTATACTCTGTTTTCTCATTTTGGGGATAATTTTGGTTTTCTTTTCTTTCTTTCTTTCTTTTTTTTGGAGTTGGAGCAAAAGAGTTTGCCTTTTCTCTTCTCCCCATTTTTGGTCCGTTTTAGTGCTTGAATTTCCAGTTCAGGGTGGTCTTCCACACCCTTAGCTGACGGTCTGAGGGCGCTTAACCCCGTGCGGGTTTAGTTTTCCTCTGTTTCGCAGGTGCTCTGCCCCCACCCTGCCACCGCCCAGCACAGGGAGGACTTGTGTTGTTTCTTTTGTGTAAGTTTTGTTTCCAGATTTTCTCCAGCTGTC